AGGAGCAGGAGCACGAGCGGCCCGAGTTCGTTCCGTACGCTCACCTCCGGATCAGGACCAAGGTACAGTCGCCTGTCCCTGTACGGGTTCTCTGTTCTCCCGCGCTTGTAGGGCTTCAGCTGCGGTGACTCGCGCCTCGTCTGCTATGCGAGGCGCTGCGTACGTAGCCATGACCTTAACCCACGGTTTTGCATCTGAGGCAGCAGCAGTTTCTCATGGCTCAGACGAAGAATGCGTCGTATTCACAAGCCTTCCGCCCCCACGTAATCCCGCTAACGTCTCGCTGGAAAACGACATTTCAGTCCTAGAGCTGCTGTGCTTACCCTAAACTAACGCAGATCTGAAAGCAGAGATCCCAAGTTCTCAGAACTGGGGTCCCACAGACTAGCACAGCTGATGTTTAAGCATGAGCAAAGACCTTGTTGTCCATAGAGACGGTGGCTTCCTGCTCAGGGAGTCTGTTTTCCAGCTCTTGCTGCCCGCAGTGTGGGAGCAGATGCCAGCTTGCTTCATTCATCGGCCCGTCAAGCCGGGCGATGTTTGGGTCCGTACTGCTGCCGATTTCCTGCGCTGTGTCCATCATTCAGTTAGCTGCCACTGGCTTACTTTCTTTCTTCTTTCAACAGCCTTTCCCCTGGGGTGACGGGAACAAAACTCTATTCCACAACCCCCATGTTAACGCTCTCCCAACGGGTTATGAAGATGAACACTGAGGTCGTGACCACAGCCACAATTTTGGCTCTTCCCATCTTGGACCAGAATGTTGTGTGGGAACCACTGTTTAGGGAACCATCGTGTAAGAAACTCCACATTCCTTCTACGATGAAGCCAAATGGCGTGGCCTCTTGTGTAGAGGTCCTTTAAATAAACAACTCTGAATGGGAATTTAGGATCTGGCTTTTTTGTTATTCTGAATCCTTAGAAGTTCTTTAGTTCAGCGTTTGCTTAAAATACTGAGGCTTCCCTCAGGATACAGTGCAGGAACAAAGGGGGGTGACTGCCGGAACGTTAATACCCGCTCCTCCATCTGACCATGCTAACAACAGGAACGCATTTCAGCATAGGACACTACTCCATTTCACGTTCTTCATGTCGGGATTAACTGATCACTGTGTAACCCCACAGCTCACAGCCCGACGAACAGGCATCAGGCCAATGCTGCAGATTAAAAATCAATATACACTGAAGCACATTCTCCATAATCGGCTATGGCAACATTTATTAGCAGTCATGAAGGCAATTTTCTCTTAGCCCCTTCTGGGAATGGCAGCAAAGATGTTTAATTAAGCTCTGTGTGCCTTCACAGTGTCAACCTGCAGCTCTCAATTTTTCTATTACAGCAGCAGGTGTGTTGCTTGCAGCACTGCTTTTCATGCAGCTGCAGTCTGGTTGTACAAAGTCTCTCATACAGGTGTTAGAAATGAAAATACAACTGTTGCTCCATTGCACATGTCTGCACAATGTGTACTGTGTCACTCAGAAGCTTCTTAACCTAGAAGAACTTATCTTCCATTGTTAACAGCCAATTCTAAAGCCCTGAGTCTGTTCCAGTATAATATTAATTTTGAAGTTTTTCTCTGAAAGTCAACCATTTTCCAATTCCTTCTGCAACTTCTATATTTTTTTGCACAGTATGAAAGAGGGAGCTATGTCTTTGCTGTCATTAATACTGTTTTTGTCCCAAAAGGAAGGCGGCAGCAGCTGACTGGGCATCTTGCTGCTGAAAGGAGTGATGGATGGTGAGCGAGAATCTCAAACTGGGCGCTGTGGGACACCCCAAGTTTCAGTGCCATTTATTTCACCCACTTACTAGTAAAATGAGTGCTAAGACAAGCTTTTCTGTGTTAAAAGCACAGAATGAGGCACTAATGGGCACAGTCATTTTAAAGCTGACAAAAATCACACTACATAGCTCACAATTTTTATTTGTACCCGAGTGACCCAGCGGTTTAAGCGTCAACAGCTTGTTTTTTAACTAAGTGCTACACTGGATCCCTGTACTGGCATTGCACCAGCTGTGCCGCGCACCCGAGCAGAGGAGCGTGGCTAACCCAGGCTGCGCTCCAGCAGATGTGTTCAGGCCATTGCCGAAGACACAGCCAGCAACGGCCCCAGTCCGCTGCAGCTCCTGATCTCCTGCACAACCCCCACACTGCTCTCGGTGTTTGGGGTCGCTACTCAGGGGCTGTGGTGCAGACAAGCCAAGCTATTACGTTTGAGAACTGCACCTGTTTTTAAAATTTTTTTTAAATAGTAAAACCTCTGGATGATCCTTCAGGTAGTGCTTAAAAGCAAAGAGAGCGAAGCTCTTTTTTCCTCGCTGTAATTCTGGGAGAATTAGAAAGTTGACTTCTCCTTCATCCACAGGCCATAATATTTTTTACTCTTTCACCTGTGTTGGTGTAATGAGAGGGAACAGCTTTTCCCCATCCCTGCAGGAGGATCAATGGAAATCTCCTCCCCTCCACACTGCTCACAGGGCCGCTGGACGGGATGGAGCCCCTTCCAAACACACTTTTTCTAGTTGCTGCAGGCATTTCTGCAGTTTACAAGCCAGCACAAATAACTTCCATTTGCTTTCCGAGGTGTAAAGCACACACAGTTCAGGAGCAGCTTCGTGAGCAGGGGAGATCCCCAGGTGGCAGCTGGAGCTTTTGACATTACCAGCTGTCGAGCTTCAACCCGATGTTTCCCTCATTCAACACACGCTTTAACTACCACAAGCAAAAGTCTAACAGTGATCGTCGCCAGCCTGGTGCATCGTGGTAGGGTGGAAAAGGACGGCTGGGGCTGTGCCGCAGTTTTACTGCAGTAATGCAGAATGCTAAAGGAGAGAGAATTCAAGTGTTTCAGTACCTCAGAAAAGGCTCTGCATTAAGAGTGTCCTCCTCAGCTTCTGTTGCAAGCCACCTCCATCCCTCTTAGAGGTCACAGCCAGATTCCACTGGACAGTTATCCACTTGAACAAAACATAACCTGGTTATATTTATTTAAGCTAAGTTACTGCAGGTCCAATAGAGTGCTTTTATACCATCTCTGTTGCTGATATAAACCAAGGCTTTAGCCCCTCAGCATTCAGGATCGTGTAAAACAAACTTCTTCCACCAAAATTCAGCAGCATAGAGAGGAGACAAAGTAAATCAACCTCCTTCGTATTCTTTTTAAACACTTTCAAGTGTTATATAAATAAGAGAAATGGGTCACAAAGCAACTCTTATCAGCCTGCTCTAATAAGCATTCTGCCATTATAGAGTACATTCAACAGGAAGTTAGCTCAAATGGCTTTTCATGCTGTTAGATGCTGAACCACCACCAAAATTCACTGAAAAGGAGGTAGTAGTTACCCCATGATCCAGTCTTTTTTTTTTTTTCCTTTTCTGGGGGCTGTTTGTTTTTACAAGCAGAGATGACTCGTCGCTTCCTAGACAGCGGCTTAACAGAGGCCTTATCCAGCTGGCGTGCAGCTGCCTGCCCGGCGATGCTGCCCAGGCCAAAGGCTCATATTGGTGGCTCCATCCATACAGCCGTGGTCAGGAGGAGTTTTCAGTTTTCCCTTTGCTTGGGCCCATGAACTCCAGGCCTTCAATGGGTATGTCCTTCTCCTTGATCGCTTTCTGGAAAGAAGAAAACCAAAACCAGCAAGTTAAACCTGACGCATCTTTCCCGCACTAAGTGACGCGATCTCTGGCACAGGACACAGTCTGGATGGAGCATCCACGCTGCGAACTGGCGCCGCCCGGGCCCCGCCAC